GCGGGGTGCCACCTCCGGGCCCTCACCTAGCGCTGCGCAGTGCAGCTGCCGTGGACAGTCACTGAGCACAGCCACACAGGTGCTGTGCTGACACCTCCCAGGAGGCCTCACTCCATCCTCACAACACCCCAGGGCTTTCCCATCAGCCCTGATGTTCAGATTGCGAAAACTGAGGCTCAGAGACTGAGTCGGGCAGTCTGGCTCCAGACTCTGGGCTTCCACCCGCCACACGCTCCCCCGCGGCCACTTCTCTTCCCCCGCCTCACCTCGACATCCGAGATGGCTGACCTCAAAGCACATGACCAGTTGACAAGCTGCCGGCTGCGGTACAACAACCCTGCCTTGTGGAGTCGCACGAAAGCTTCCGTCACAGCCACTGAGGAGCCCTAGGATGACCGAGTGTCCACACCCAACAGCCCCTTCTCAGCCCGCCGCCCCGTTCAGGGCCCCGCACTCCCACCCTGCTACCCCGACACACCGCCACCCGCCACCCTCGCGATCTCTAAACCCCTCCCACCTCACAGGGCCTGAGGGCACACTCACTGCGTCCATAGTGAAGCACTCTCGGTCCCAGTCCAGGGAGGCCCCCAGAGCTCGCAGCTGCCCACAGATGTCTCCCCCTTTCCTGTGCCCAAAGAGGTTTGTCAGCAAACATGTCCCGAGCACCAACGACCAGGCCCAGGGACACCCAGCCACGCTGGGGGCTGGGAGGAGTGCAGCATTGGTCCAGCCTCTGGAAGCTAATGTAGACAGTATGGAGACTTCTAGAACATCAAAAAAGCACAGCCCAGCCAGTGTGGCTCAGTGGTTGAGCATCGACCTATGAACCAGGAGGTCACGGTTCGATCCCCAGTCAGGGCACATGCCCAGGTTGCAGGCTTGATCCCCAGTGTGGGGTGTGCAAGAGGCAGCCGATCAATGGTTCTCTCTCCATTTATGTTTTTACCTCTCTGAAATTAAGAAAAATATACTTTAAAAGCATAAAGCTCTATAAGAGGGCAGCCGACCTGTGGGAAACCCAGAGCAGCTTTGCAGAGGAGACGGCATGTGCTAGCCGACTTGGGGACATGAGGACAGGTCAAGCAGAGGGAAGGTGGCAGTGGGTGAGTGGGTGATGATAAAGCCTAGGCCAGGAAAATGGGACCAGTGGGAGCGTGTGAGTGTATATACATACACATACGTCAATAAGCACATCTTACTGTATCTCTCACACACACACACACACACACACCAGCGGGAGCGTGTGAGTGTATATACATACACATACGTCAATAAGCACATCTTACTGTATCTCTCACACACACACACACACACACACCAGCGGGAGCGTGTGAGTGTATATACATACACATACGTCAATAAGCACATCTTACTGTATCTCTCACACACACACACACACACACACCAGCGGGAGCGTGTGAGTGTATATACATACACATACGTCAATAAGCACATCTTACTGTATCTCTCACACACACACACACACACACACCAGCGGGAGCGTGTGAGTGTATATACATACACATACGTCAATAAGCACATCTTACTGTATCTCTCACACACACACACACACACACACACACACGCACAGACGCAGAGCTTGGAGACCCCACCAAACACTAAGAGGCTCCAGAGCTCAAGTCTCTGGAAGTGAGGGAAGTGAGGGGGATGGGAAGAGCAACCACAAGCCGGAGAGAGGCTGGGAAGCAAGGTCCCAAACCCATGATCTCGACCCCTGCGCCTGGCACTCACTCCTCCTTCCACTTCCACACCTCCCGGAGGAAGTCTTCCCGGCCCAGCTCGTGTCTCCTCAGCCCCCGCTCCTTCCACAGCTGCTTCTCCACCACCGCCTAGGAGATGAGGGGCAGACAGTGAATCGGGTGTCTTGCACCCGAGCAAAGGAAACAGTGGCAAGAGACATACTTGGGTAGCAATCCCTGCATGATCTGAGCCAGGGACCCACAGCACACAATCCCCGCGCATCCGGTGCCTGCAACAGAAACACGCACACGCGAAGCCCTGAGCTTCCACATTTATCCTCCCTCCTCCCCCTCCCGTGCCCCTCCCGAAACTCAAGCAGCCCCCATCCCCTCACCAGCGCACAAGCGCATCCTGGATGGCCACAGTCAGTGCGTGTCCGACGTGCAGGGACCCGGTGACGTTGGGAGGGGGGATGCACATGGAAAAGGTCTCCCCCGTGCTCTGGGGCAGCCTGGTCTAGGAGCCAAGGCAAAGGGCAAGAGAGGGCTGGCCCTTACCCGGGTGAACAGCTCCCTCTGCTGTCCCCAGGGCATAAAGGACTGGAAGTCACGGCCAGGGCAGGGGACCTGCCCAGGGGATGTGTGGGGACACTGGAGCAGGAGACAAGCTCTCCCATGAGTTGGCCTCGGGGACTCCCCGCCAGTACAGACCTGATACTCGGGTTTGAAGAAGCCCTCTCGCACCCACCAAGGGTACCAGGCCGCCTCCACGTAGCGGGGGCTGTAGGCAGCAGGCAGGGGCCGGGAGACATCTGTGGAGGCGGCAGAGCTCCTAAGTCCCCTGCATTTCAGCAGACCGGATGGGCGACGGGAGAGCCAGTTTCTAGCTACCTTTCTTTTCGCCGGGTTCCGTGGGGAGTTCATACAACACTATTTCTTTAGGAGTCCAGGCCTTACTGGATTCTGCAGGTGCCTGGGGGAGGGGGGAGGGGCCGAGGGAGGGGCTGCAGTTCCCGATGCACCCCATGCACCTGGGGTCCAGTCTCCCCCGCAGCCCCGCCCACGTCTCTCGGGGACCCAAGGACAAGCGGGGCGACCCCAACCTTGCTCTTCCCGGCTAGCCCGGCCTCCAGCGCCGCCTGCTTCTCTCGCAGGCGTTTCTGTTTGGCTTCGCGGTTCCTCCGGGAGGTGGGGGACCCGTAGGGCTCGGACTGGGTAGAAAGGGCATGGGACCCGGGGAGGCCCCGTGAGGGCCTCAGCCCCCAGGGCCGGAAAGAGGCCCGAGGCAGGTGCGGCATCAGCAGGGCTTGGGCAGGCACTGAGGACAGGGCGCGCGGCGGGTCACACCCCTGGTCCCGCCTTACTCCTGCCTCCTCCCAGCCTGCGTTACTCCCTCCCACCCCGCACAGCGCCCGCCGGCACCAGGGGGCCCGTCCCGGCAACCGGACCCAGAGCCACGAGGAGCGCTCTCCCGGGGAAGGGTCAGTTTCTAGCCCCGATCTACGCACGTGCGAAGAGGGGGTGACCGCTGACACGCGGGAAGGTGAAGGGCTCGGGGATTCGGGGAGATGGCCGCCCCGGCGCGCCGAGAGCCAGCAGGAGCGGGCGGCCA